CAAGAAAAAGCAGGCCACTTGGTATGATGAACAGAGCCAGGAACCTGAGGAATGGAATTCATCCAGCTTCATACTCCTTGGCAAGTTGTGTCAAGCTAGATATGTCAGAATAAACTCAAAAAGCTTGGGCTTCTCCAGCTGTACATGAGTTGCAAGACCACTCTGACACAATGCTGCAATAAGGAAACCAAAAATATTTCATCTACTTGCCAGTGTGTGACTCATACATCTCTCTACTTGCACACTTGAACTATGCAAAAGTTACAAGCTCACAATGATCTAAAGGAAACAGGCAGCCCAGAACAGTCATACATTCCATGAACCCTCAAGTTCTAGGGCATAGAATTTAATGAGCCAATAGGTTCTGCTGTACTGCAACTGTTTAATGTTTATTTAGTATCTACCCCACAATGCAGAAACCAGACAGATGTTAAACTCCATATTCCTGGAAGACAGCTTCTTCCATCTCTCAAGTCTGGTAGGATGCTCTAACCACATAGACAAAATGAGCTAGCTATCTTGATTACTTTAGTGTTCTACTGTCTGGAATAAAAAAGCATCTCTGAATATTCTGCAGAAGAGACCACTCAAACAACAGAGAAATTTGCCCAACAAATAATTTCTTTTTTAAAACGTAAGAAGCCTCAATTCTAATTCCTAAAATGATTTATTGGAAACCATCAAATTTCAGAACTATTAATCTCTACTTTCCAGAAAAGAAACTCAGACTCTTGCTCAGGACTAGGTAACAGCAGAAACTTTAAGAACTTGATAGAGGTAAATTAGCTGTTTACCTCAGACTAAAAAAAGTCATATCTATGCAGAAGATCTACCTGATGAAGAACATAGAAATCAAGTTCCCTCTATATTGGTCAGTCATGTCTTTTATTTCCATCCTTTTAATAGACTTTTGGATATTTTTTTTTCCTGAATGAGTGAATGAATGAATAAATGAATGAATGAACCTGCTCTGTATTTATAGAGGGCTCTCTAGCAAGTACTGTAGCTACTGTAGGTTTCTCTACTTCTTCCTGGATAACTGCAGTAGTTAAGGATAGCATTCATGGGAACAGATCTGATCTGGCAATCAAGATCCCCCATAGGTGCCCAAACATTTTTCACCCTGACGGAGAACTGACAGAGACTGGAAGCTTCGTCTGCTTGCAAAAGGAAAGAGTGTGGCAGGTGGAGGGAGGCGGCAGGGGAGGCTTGCACCGCCAGGTCCTTCAGCTTCTCCCGCCTGTCCGTACCACTCTCCTCACCTGAAGACCCGTTCCGCCAGCACTGCCCTCACTTCCCGAGCATCTGCCCTGTAAGCCGTTGCGGCTGCAGGCAAGCAGACAATAGGAGGGAGCAGGCGGCCAGCCACATAGTCAGACATCCCCCGAAAATAAGCCCCGATGGGTCTTTTGGTCTAAAAAAAAATGTATTGTAAAACCCTGTCTTATTTTTGGGGAAACATGGTAATTGCAGGCCTCAAAAGGCATTTTGAGATAGAAAAAGAAAACTAGCCTATATTTCTAAGTTGTTACTGCATACAACCACATATACCAGTATGAAACTGGTCAGAGGCAGCATCCCAATGTATTTATTTGTAGTTTTCAGGCAAAATGTAACTGAATTTTAAAGATATAAAACCTTAAAAAATGAATAAACATATCATATTTTAATTATTTGACCATAAGCTGCCTAGAGTTACCTCGGCAAGATGGCCGGCTTAGAAGTTTCATAATAAATAAATATTTTTTAAATAAAGATACCATGCTCTGAGCACTGCAGTTTGCTTATAAATCAAAGCTAAATGAACACCACAGCATTACTACTCTCTTGTAGATTTTTGACAGGTCAAGAGGTTTACAAATTAGGCTAAAGTTGTCTAAAAGTTACTGAATCACAGAAGAAACCTTGTGTATTACAGCAGGAAATGCTTTTAAAAAATGTATTGTGTATTCTTCCTCACTCCTATCTAAAGCCAGACTTGGGGCTGACTAAGCTGCATGACTTTGTCTGAGCTAGATAGAAGTAAGGAATGAGTTAAGAGAATAGGCCACCCAGTTCTAATTTCCATCAGACACCAGGTAACTCATGTAGAAAGGATGACTTTAGCTAAAGTATAATTTTAAACTTAATTTCAGTCGAACTGGCCTATACCTGGGAGCCTGTACAAAAAGTTAGCCGAATACATAATACATAATACAAATCCATTCCTAATATCTGAAACGGAATGCCTGCTCCAATTGCATCTCCCATTATCCCTCACTTCTTTCTCTACTAGATACTTATGCCAACAATTGCAGGAAAGAAGCCCACACACATAGCAGAGTTGGGTGGAGATGCTAAAGAACGCAACTGTCTCTTCCAAGAAAGACCCACATTCATCTTTGCAGAATCACTCACTAAAATGTTAGAGAGCTGCTTCTATTTTGGCTGCATCTCCATTCAAGATATCAGCTATACTGCCTTCACTAAACTGGTCTTATTAAGCTATTCTTTCCCATCCTCATGCCACGAGCTATGAGGGGGACAGGGGGAACAGAGAACTAAGGGGAAGAAAGCTCCCCAAGCAGAGTGCACTAGTCAAGCTCTGCTCTTCAACAAAGCCATCCCGGAACAGATGGGCTCTAGAAATCCATTTCAGTCATCCTGGGCCAAGAATTCTTTAAAATCACAACTCCAAAAGGGAACTCATTTCACTTTCAGGCAGTAGTAACTGACTTCCTTCCTAGTCATTTATGGGTAAGTACTAAGAACTGGATATGGATTATTTGAAAGATAATTATTCCCATGTTAAACTTGAACCAACTTTCTGATCTTCAAGGATCATTCTTCAGAGTGCAAAGGACAAAACATGTGAAAAGTATGCACAATCCTTCACCACAATATTCTGATTCAGTCTGGAAAAAAAAGATTACTGTGGTTAGGATAGAGGCATCTAATCCAGAATGAGCACCTGGTCTTGGAATTGGACATTTTGCCTAAGAAGCACTACAGAAACCATAACCTTAGAGAGCAGTCCCAAAAGAGGACTCCTATACTTAAAAATAGAAGAGTTTTCTATACATTTCCATCTTTAAAACTTCTTCCAAATGGCCATAACCTATGAGCCATAGGCACAGCGTTGTATTGTCCAAGCTAGCATTTGTAAAAACGCAAACCAGAAACAAAAATAAATTATATATTTCTAAGATGTTACAGTGGTAATAAAATTATTACAGACAATGCTATGAAGCTGCAAAGTATCAATTCCTCTTCATATTTTTGGTCCTAGAACAAGGCTCAGGTTTCAGGAAAGCTAAAATTCATGTTCTTCCAAACCAAGAGGATCACATCTATTAATCAATCAAGCTGAACAATATATGAACCATATTCTGGAATAGCCATATTTGGTTTTTAGATATTCCCCACCTGCTGCCTATATAATATACAATTTAGCTGTTGCCATTCTGTTTTGTTTTACAATAATAAAGCTGCATTACTAACACCTAGAGGCAAACAAAGTCATTACTAAAAGCCAACACGGGTTTGTCAAAAACAGATCATGCCAGACAAATCTTATTGCATTCTTTGACCAGGTGACAAAATTAATGGACCAGAGGAATGCTGTGGATATAATTTACTTGGACTTCAGTAAGGCATTTGACAAAGTAGACCACAACCTACTACTTGAGAAGATAGAAAAATGCGGGTTAGACAGCATCACCACCAGATGGATCCGTAGCTGGCTGACCGGCCATACTCAGCGTGTGGTCCTCAATGGAACCGCATCTACATGGAGGGAAGTGTG